TTATCAGTGCCGAATAAGCTTAGGGGGTGGTGACTCATCTTAGGGGGGGGGTATCGAAAAGCGCTGTAACCAATCAGTCACCACCCCCCCCGCCCCCCCCGGCAAAGCATCCACTTCTGCATCGACACCCCCCTACCTGCGGAGTTTGGTGTGGCGCTGTACGGAGGGGGGGGCACCGTGGCAGTGATGACCCCTCCGACAGGCATCAAGCCCACGTTGTTGCTCCTACCTGAGCAGGAAGGGGGGGGGGCAGAGAGCTTTTCTGTGAACAGTTCCCATCAGACCAGCGAAAGAGGCGAGAGGTTGAGGCCCCCACAACGCATATCATCATTATTCATCATTGTTTAGTGGGCCCTCTTACACAAAGCTTACAACGTATCTCCTTTTTTTTACAACTCCATATTTCAGCTCCATATTTGTAAGGGGAGGGGGGCGCTGCAAAAAAAGGTTAACCCAAACGATCTGCACTGCAGAGAGGAAGGCGACCTTACTTGGGGCGATGGTGGCGTGGGGTCGACACGGCGGGATTGGATATGGCACCGGCCTGTGGGGGTTGTAGGTGGAGGGAGACTGGGATGGGAGGGGGGGTGGAGGACAGAGCAACATGGTCAGATGACTGCGTCCTCCCCCCAGATCACTGCTCCGACATCGCGGTTCACCGCTCCACCAGCCGCCTCACCGGTTTGAAAGGTCCCAGGATCCGGGCTGCGATGCCCTTCCCGTCGCTGCCCGTCTCCTCCCCCTCCTTCCGAGCCGGCATTCCCTTTACGGACAGGCAGAGGCACACAGATGTTTACCAAACATATGGGTATAAACGAGCACTAACAAATTACCTTAACCTAGTGTAGCTCCTGTAGTCGAGCCAAAAGGGCATTGCGCTAACAATGCAAAGGTTGTGAGTTCAAATCCCACACATATATTGTAACCCTTCCTTCTACTGCAAGTTGCTTTGGATAAAAGAACCAGGTAAATGTCACATGGTCTCTCAATCGCATAGATATCTGAAATTACTGAAATCTGTCCTACTAGGTTGTACATATATCTAATACTTTATATTTATTTAGCAAATGCTTTTAAACAAAGCAACGTATAGCTGAGAAAGCAGGAACACTTCGGGTTAAGTGTCTTGGCCCAGCAGTGATATCATTCTGCCAGCCCTGGGATTTGAACCTGCAACATTCTGGTTACAGACGCAGTGTCCTAACTGGCTGAGCCACACATTGCCCTACAACTGCCACAAGCCTTTTCAATGTCACTGACACTGTCAATGACCAAGAAATTTAAAATGAAAATATTAGCCTGGAAGGAAAAACGTGTTTTACTGTGCTGCTCAGTTCAATTATGACTTTTTACTTTTACAATGAAGGAGTGTAAAAGCAGACGTATGTGGCACGGAAGCAGGAAGCTGATCCGTTAGGTACTCACGGGGAAGGTTCCGGTCACCTGACTCGGCCTGCCCTTCGGGTACGGGTTCCCCGGTATCATCCCGCAGGACGAGATCATCGCCACCGGCGCTTTGCAACCCACTTTGCACACCTGCGGGACAATGGAGACTGAGACCCAGACCGAGAACTACAGATGAACACCGTCATCCCCTCAAAGCAAGCACTGATACACTTTTTATCTAAAAACTTAAGAACAAATTATACTCCGTCTTTAAATATCGACTGACAACCTATTACTTCAGTTTAGCTTACCTGCAACTTAACACACATCACAGCGTAGCTGTGGGTGCCGTTGCTGCTGTGTCTAGGCCGGTTCTGAGCCCCCATACTCTCTGTCTTACTTGAAAGTGACTTAGGAACTGCAGCATCGTGGGTGCAGCCTTCAGTCTGCCACCCTACACATGCCGGAATGGAGAACTGACTCACTGATGGGCTTCGGCTTTGACCTTGACCACGGTTTACACTTTGCTTTTAGCAAGCAAGCCCACTCTTTCCCACTCTGTCTTCTTCCTATAATGTTAGCATGCGGGGAGGGGGGGGGGGTAACTTTGGATGGAACATTAAGGGGACTAAGGTCCCCACCCATTCATCATGATAAAATAATATTTTTTTGGTAGGGGGGGGTTGTATTGGCCAGTTCTAATTATTGGAGGGCACCCCCCCATAATTTACACCTATGCCCAGGGTGGGGGTTGGGCAGCCAGTTGACCTTGGACCCCCAGAGGTGTTTTTTCTCCCTACTTGGGAGTTTTTGGTTCCTCTCCTCTGTTGGCATCTGGCTTTTTTTCTGCCGTTACTTTATCTTCCCTTTTCCCCATTTTTGTATTATACTCTCTTAATGATGTTGTAATGTATCACAACACACCCATGTAAAGCCCCATGGAGCGATTCTGTTGTGAAAGGTACTATATAAAAATAAACTGAATTGAATTTACCCCCCCAGCAACTTCTTATCTAAGCATTTGACTAGTAACACCATGATTTTCTTCAGAATAACTCAAAAACGCCTCATTCTTCAGCAGCAAGCTTTTCTTGCAGGACCTGCTGAATGGTATTTTGTCTCACCTGCTCTAAAATCCTACGGCAGCGCTTTTTCTCATACAGGTGAAAGCGGAACAGGTCCTCCACCGGTCGGTAGTTCTGTGCGTCAGATATATTCCTGCAGTCGCACAAAAATCAGTAGGCCTGAGATCCGCTACACACACTCTCCATACCTCACTGCATCATGTACATAAAATTTCTTTTAACAATACAGATGCTCCTCATTTTACGATGGTTCAACTTACGATATTTTGACAATTTTACAATGGTGTGATAGTGACCCACACTCTGTAGTCATCAGACCAAACTTTGAATTTTGATCTTGGCTAGCGATATGCCATTCAATACTTTCTACTGATACCCAGCCAATGCTTCCAGTCTCTATAGCGATCGCAACAGTAAACATCTAATATGGTGTTTTACAACGTATCATATGGTAACTTATTTTTCACATCATATTCGGCTTACGATATTTTCAACTCACGATGGGATTTTCGGAACATAACCCCATCATAAATTGAGGAGCATCTGTATAAATAATTTCATGACATTAGAGGTTCAGTACAATAATTTAGTTGATGCTTTTATCGAAGGTGATGTATTAGCGTGGCAAACAGTCATCATCCAGCAGAAGCAGGGACTTACAGAGCAATTAACTCCAGAACATAGATCTTATCCTTTGAAAATGTAAAACAGTTGAGTATGTTCACCACCTTAGTTGTTGGAATGGCAACCATTTTCTGAAAATGGAGGGGAAAAAAAAACAGGTTTATTTACAGTGCAGTTACAGATGCACGTTCCACCTGCATGAAACTATAGCAGATATATCAAATAAACTCAGATTTAGCTACAAAGTCACTTACAATGTGGCACTAATTAAATTTTATTAGAAAAATCTCACAACACCATTTCCGACTCAATCCACTACCAAACAAATTTTGTCTATCTAGGTCACAAAAATTGCGTTCATGAATTGTTAGTTAGTTTCTATTACGTCAATCACTCAAATTTGTTGGTTTAAATGCATTTTTACTTCGAGAAAGTATTTTTAAAATACTTTTCTGTATTAATTATACAATAAAAACGTCAGGCTCACATGTTGCATAGCTTTCACGGCCATTTTCTGCGGTTCTGCATAGGAGAAGTATTTCAGCATCTCCGTCACCTGCAGCGGATGAGAGCGGCGCGTCATGTCACACCTACGCGGGCAGCCGACAGCGGGGTACCGGAGCCGTGTTTACCTGCTCGCTGGAGAAATAGCCGTGCACCAGCTCTATGGCCCTGATTCTCTGATCTGTCAGAATGCACTGCGGGAGGGGACACACCACAAGCGTGATCCAGATTACCAGGAATGAAATGTACATTTATACTTTAAACACAAGAATCCCGAAACCCCAAAACGTGACATTTACAATCGAATAACTAATTCTTAAATGTTGCATAAATACCTTTCTTATTTCGTCCAGCACGATGTCAAAAGACTTTTTATCCATCTTGAAATGTTACTGTTAGTAAATTTGCTTAGAAATGAACACGATTTCAAAAATGTTATATCAGTGTGGTTCTATTGATTGGTAAAAAGTTAATAGCGATAAAATGCTATACGCACCTACATAATTGCATAATGCCACCGGGTGGCCAACTGGCTAAATAACGTGAACTGTAGCAGTCCTCCTAGCGCACCAGCGGAATCAATGAGTCCAACAGCATCACGTTATCCTGGTTTAGCCCGTAACCAACCTCCACGCGAAATCCCGCGCTCATTACAATATTAAATAAAATAGCTGACGAGTCAGTCGCTAACGAAAAACTGCTAGGACCTGTAGCTATATGCAAACAGATCGTTAATGTTGATCGGCGACCGATAAATAACCATAGCTAGCTGGCTAGCTAATCACACGCGCGAGCACGCCGCCGCCTTGTGGAAAACTGGCCGTCCCAAAAAAACGCGTGGCGGACGTGTTAAACGTGGAAACTCGGTTTGCATGACCTTATCCTGCAGTGGGTTTTGCAATTCGTCACCATCTTGTAAAATGAATAAATGGGGCTGGAAAATCAAACCCCTCAGTGCAGCTCAGCTAAACTGGCTTCCTTTGTTGTGACCCATTATGGTGCGACGACCTTTCGCAGCGTTTTTTTCCGCTCTGGGTGTTGGGGGTAATCGAGGGAGCACACCAACGGCCAACACTACACAGGAATGTAACAGATTTAAAGATACATTTCGGTAATCTAACCATGTAAAACGAGTTACTCTCGATTGTTTAATTTACAATTATGCGGATATACCATAATGTTCTCACTTGTATTGTTAAAAAATTAACTTTATATTAAAGTAAAAGAAATCGGCTATGGGGATGGGTGGACCCCCCTTAAAATAAAGGTCCAACGGCTGCCGTGTCGCTTTTTGATGATGAGTTTGTGCGGTTTCGTACGATGACTAATACAGTCAAATAATATATTTTTAATTGTACTGCATTTCTCACGCTTAATGTAAACACTTTTTTAGTAAAGATTAAAAATAAAATCATAAGGTCGAGTAATCCACAAAAGTGCGCTCTTTATCGTGCGATATTTAAACAGGCATTTCAGGATAGCTATATGGGAAGTAAACACTGATGTGCATCTGAGGCGGATGTGCTGGGGAGGCAGGTGTGCAAATCCAGGCGAGTTGGTGTAGCGATGGACCGGTTCCTGTGGTCCAGTGGCTTGCTGGAGATGAACGAGACATTGGTGATCCAGCAAAGAGGTGTCCGCTTATACGACGGAGATGAAAAGGTAATGCCGCCTCACGGTTAATAATCTTTATGAACAAATCTCGCACTTGGAATTAGGAGATCAGGCCCTTGTTACTTTATGTCTAACAGTTCTTTATATAAAGTTTTAGTCATCTTTCACTTGATGGCGTGCTGTAAAAACCGTAAACCCTACTGGGAGGACGCGCTATTCACCTGTTGCCGATGTTTTAACAGATATTAGCGTTCAAATTGGCATTCCATGCCATTCGTGTAATTTCCCATTTTTCCCACTAGGCTAAGCTGGATGTTGGAGTTGTCCTCTTGAGTACTCATCGTCTTATTTGGAGGGACCTCAAGAACCACGTAAGGTCTTGGGGGGAACTTGAAAATATTGGAATTGCAGTATGTCACTGTTACCTTAAACTGCTCTATGAACTGCATTTAGGTGCTTCAACTATTATAACTCATTAGTTAAGTATCCGTGTTCTGCTGGCAAACTGTTCACGCTGTCAAACTTTTCCCTGTGCAACAGGAATGTTGCATGGCTATTCCTCTGTCACAGATCATATTCTTTGAGGAACAGGCTGCAGGAATAGGAAAGAGGTAATGTCTAAAACCAAGATCTTTGTGGGTACTGCAAAGTTTGCTCAAGATATCTCCTCCTAGTAACAGACTATGGCTACATTATCAAAAATCGTCAGGTGGAAACTTGATACCTGGCTTTCTCATTTCAGTATCTAAATCAGCTTTATTAGCAGTAAATTTAATGATCAAATTTCTCATGTAAACTGAAGTGTTTCAAGGAAATCCGTGCACGTAATTTCTTTAGTATGGATAAAGGGGGGCAACATGTGGCTCAGTGGGCTAAACCTTGGTGCCTGTGATCAGACAGTTGCTGGTTCAAGCCCAGCCTCAGCACATCTGCGGGTCCTTGAGCAAGGCCCTTAACCCCCAGCTCTCTGAGTGCTACTATGGGTGGCTGCCCTTCATCCAGCTTGCTGTCAGACACGGAGAGCAAGCTGGGGGAAGCGTAAAGAAAATTTCTCCAAAGGGGTCAATAAAGTATTTATAAATACATATATAGTAACTATAAATTCTTATAACCATTTTTAGGTCAGTTCTCGTTGTTCTGACCATTGTCTCTATTCTGCTCACCACAGTGCTAAGATAGTGATTCACTTGCATCCTGCCTCCCCCAACAAGGATCCTGGTCCCTATCAAAGCAGCAAGTTTTCCTACATTAAGTTGTCGTTTAAGGAGCATGGGCAAATTGAGGTAAGTTGCTATCATAGAGATGGGCTTTGTAACAACTTTGGGTTTGTATTCTGTGCTATTTGTCAGATGGAGCTCTCTGCAACCAAGGTGGACCTGAAACACTCTTGTGCGATTAGTTCTACAGGAGGCTGTCAGAGGAGATGACCCAGAAGAGGTGGGAGAGGACACCAGTGTCCCAACCTATCCCAACGGGAACAGGATCACAGGTGACAGTTATGTGCCTCATGACATCACAATTACAAAGCAAAGCATTGTAAAATTATCTCAGTATTCAAATTGCCAGGGCTCTGTAATGAACCGTAAGGAAAAAAATAAATAAATAAAAAATACCGATATTGATAACAATCCTGATATTTATAATGAATCTTAATAGCTGAAGCTTATTTTCTTCCATTGATCTGTAACATTAACTTCAACAGGGCAGTCACAAATTAAACTTTTAAAACCTGTGCCATCCATTTGCATTTCCTACTTAAGTATTGCTTTCTCTTGATGGTGCAATTCATGTGAAGGCCTCTAAGAGGTGCTGTTTTTACATATATGGCAAACATGAAACTTTTTTTTTTAATCCTGTAGGTTTTTCATTCTGATAATTTAATTCTGTTTTTATATATTATATGGTATATTGTGCATATTTGTTATTTCGAGGTGTGTCAGGTAGGCCAAACGGCTGCCGTGGTGACTAAGGAAAGGCGGAGAACGCTGCTGTTTGTCCCCTGGGCTGAGCTTTTCCTTCCTCTCCTCTTGGGGAAACACAGGCAGGAAGAACGCGAGCTGTGGGGATCGTGGGCATCGAGAGGAAACTGGAAGAGAAAAGGAAGGAGATGGACAAAAACATTTCCGAGGTGAGCGAGAGAGGCAGGGAGGTGGAGACAGGGATGCGGAGGAAAAGAGAGCGTGTACGTGGAGGGTGGGGAAGGAGGTGCGCTCAGTCAGTTGGGCCCGTGTGAAGCAGGTCATGGGTTTCCCTGTTCTGCTCGGACTTGATCACGCTTCCGAGATGTGGCCCAGACACGGCACGCCACTGCAAGGCTGATGTGTCGTGTCTGGCCATCGTGATTTTGCTGGCGCTTAGGCAATCACTTAAGCAGTAAAGAAGCATCATTATGCCTTTCATGTTTTAACAGCCAGGCATAGAAATAAGCACCATTCTTGGCCCCTCACCCTTGACCGTTTTTAACAGTTTGTACAGCAGGGGGCGTGGCAGTTAGGGTTCCAGCATGAACAAATGAACGTTCATGTCTCTGGAAGGGCACTGTTGGACTGCTGAGAATGCAACATTTTTGACATTGATGGACTAAAATCTAATATTGTAATCAGTGTTATCTTCTTGAATGGGTGACCCCTTATGAATATTTTAATGTTATAAATGCAAAGGGTGATGGAATGTGGCTGATTTTAAAATTTTCCAGTTTCAGTGTTTGAGAGGTTGGGGCATACCAGGTTGTATATTTCATTAATTAGCTATCTTCTACTGTGGGAAGACCTTGGTTTAATCTCCAGATTCTCACGGTCTGTCTACGGTCATTATCTATAAATACGGAGAGCGTGACTCTTCGTCCAGCCTAAAGTGACCTTACTATGCAACTATATCACCGGTTTTCCCAAAGGATTTTTTTTTAGAAAATATTTATGAATTTTTGCTCAGATTAAAAACTAGAATTCAAGTAAAAGTCATGAGAAAGGCAAATAGCAAACAGACTAATCTCAACAATAATTTTTTGTCCCATGTGGGAATGCAGCTGTTAGCAGCAGATGTAGTGTTTGGAGCATAAATAAAAGCTGCTTCTAGCGTGTGAGGTGTCTGTCATCACAAAATAATGTGTGTCTGTCTTGAACAACACAACACTGTTGCATGTTTAAAAGCACATTTTAAAAAATGAACCATATACAAAAGGCAGACAGTGGTTCTGGTGCCGTGACTGTATGAGGTTTGTGATGAACTCTGGGTCTACTTCTCTGGAAACAAAAACCAGAGACTGACTGCTCCCTTTCCTCTGGAATAATAATTAAGCTAAAAGTGTATCACTGATAACTTACAACACCATCCTTGATTATGGATTTAATGGCCGCCCTGCTATGAAGTTTGTAATGCAAACGAACCCTGGGGATTTGAAGCAAGGTGCCTTGTTCACTTGTTGAATTGATTTGACTGCCCCCCCCCACCCCATGTGTCTTCACATTAGAATGTCCCGCGGAAGGTGGGGTTGGGACTTCTCTTTTACCAGAATCTTGTTTTCATTTCCCCCCCTCGAGGAGCAGGGATACTTGTCACCAAGCCCCCCCCCCCCAAGCCGGCAGGGCTGTGTGTGCGTGATAAGAGGAGAGAGCAGCGGGTCTTTGTGTGGGGCCGGAAGCACGTGTTGGGCGTGTGCCTCTTTCCCTTTGTTCCCAGGTCGACCCCTTCATCACCAGCCAGTGCTGAAACGACAAAAACAAACGTGTCCCATCCTAACAGCAGCCACATTCTGAGGCTCAATCCACCCCCCCAACACTCACTACCTTACAGATTGAGTCATCCTGGAATCCTAAGTTGAACAAGACTTCAGCTGAAAATAACTGTTTAAGAGGTTTTCTGATGTGGCGACGCTTTCTTGTGTGCTGAATGTCCAGGACCGTAGGTTTAACGGTGGTGTTGGCCCCTTGCAGAATCTCCTCTAACTGCAGCTCTAACGTGCTTCTTCCGGAAGGACGCCCCCTTCTTGATGGATGGGTGGGGGGTGCTCAGGAATGTCAGGCATGCCTCTCCAGCGGCCTGGTGGTCGATTTGTGTTTGGTCTGTGTGGGAATCCCTTCATCTGACCCCTCTTCCCACTTCTGTTCCTTCTTCGCAGGCCTTTGAAGACCTCAGCAAGCTCATGGAGAAGGTAAGGAAGCCCCTCGCTGTCATCTGCAGTCCTGTTTCCCCCTGGGACTTTGCGCATGAGCTAGGGTGTCATCCGTCATTACCCCCCGCCCCCCTAACAGCGCTCTTCACCTCCAGGCCAAGGAGATGGTGGAGCTCTCCCGGTCCATTGCGAGCAAAATCAAAGAGAAGCAAGGAGACATCACAGAGGATGAGGTGGGTGTGACTGCATTAACAGGCCCCACCCCTCAAACGCCTCACCGTGAACTGCCCTGGGGTGGTCTCCCTTCCCATCCAAACCTCAGGCACATAATTCCGTGGTTTTTACTCCTTCGTTTATATATCTGTCATGGAGCAGGCTCTCATAATCCAAGCAATCTGGGAATATTCTTATATCTGTTTCTATTTTACCCATTTTATAATGGGAGAGGGGCAATGAGCCAGAGTTGGCGAGCTCACTGTTGCAGTTCCAAGCTCGTCGAGCAGCCTGGAGTTAATTTGATGACCTCGCATGCTAAAAAAAAATTCGAGGGTGTCCATGTGGTCTCTCTATTTCCTTTTTGAGAGGAAAAGAGCTGGAATGGCGTCTGTATCTATACACCCTGACCTCACGCCTACCTTTCCCCGGATGACGTAAATTCCCCGGAGCGCATGCAGGGAGGGGAGCGTTTTCCCGTCCTCGCTTCGTTAGCGCGCCTGCCCGTTCGTCTTCTGCGGCGTCGCCGCTCGTGGAAAGTGTGGGGCCCCCCCGCGGGCCTTTCTGGCGGGAACCTGCTGGGTTTCCACCAGCTGCTCACGATGGCCTGCGATTAGCGGCTCTGGGCCGGTCTCAGCCCAGATGGTCCCCCGCAGAAGTTTAGCGCTTTATCCGCTGGGGCCCTGGCCGTAAGATCTGTGGATTCGCTAATTATGTAACGGGGCTTTTCGAAGTTAATAGATTCTCTGGGGTCTAAGTATGCAGTTGGATTGCTGACCCAGAAATAAGGATATTTAAGCACATCTGGTTGGAGGTTTTTTTGTTTTTTTACATCACTCACTATGCGGTTAAGTCCCCTGATTGCCAGAAGCATTTCCAAAGGGGACATTCAAGAACAAGCTGTGCAATGGGCTTGGTCAGGTGTCCCTTTCTTGTATTACCAGTTTGCCCTTTGACCCCTAACAGACGATCCGGTTCAAGTCCTACCTGTTGAGCATGGGCATCGCCAACCCGGTGACACGAGAGACTCACGGCTCAGGAACTCACTACCATATGCAGCTGGCCAGGCAGCTTGGGGACATGCTCCTTGCCCCACTGGAGGTAACAACAGGACTCTCATGGGCACATGTATGTACATTTATAGCCCCACCGATGAGTAGCGAGTTGATGAATTGTTGGCTTAGCCTCGATGCTAACATGCTAAGCCATCGATTCCTAAACAGTCCAGATGATTCCCTCTGCGGGTAGCGCTCTAATACTGATCCCTGCGGGATTTAAGATCTTCTTTGGACTTGAGCTCAAGCAGGCCGTTTGGGGAAGGTAGGAACATTCAAGCCATGGGTGTCTTGTCCACAGGAGCGAGGAGGCATGATGGCTCTGACTGAAGTCTATTGCCTGGTGAACCGGGCCCGAGGCATGGAGGTGAGTCTGCGTTTAAGACCTGAGAAGCTCTATGCAATGCCTGCGTCAGGTGGGTCGGTTCTGTCCAGAAGCCCAGTGCTACTTCACCACAGTGCCCCCCCCCCATGGGCCTTCCAGCAGAGGCTGGACAAATATCACAGGTCTCCCACATCACCCATGATCTGCAGACTGCAAGCATGGGGCAGCTAATCAGAGTTGACCCTGATTTGTCTGCTCGATGGATTTCATTGGCTGTATTGAAGCCATCTGGAATAAGGAGGGGACCATGGGGCGCGGTGGGGATGGTGTGTTTGTGGGGGCGGTGTTTGGGTTTCTGGACTTAAATGGAGCTGGAAGCTCCTCCTGACCTCCTCGCCCCAGGCCAACAGATGTTGCCTTCGGTTTTCTATCATCTGCTGCCGTTCCTTTTTGAATAAAACATCTTCTAGCATCTGGGCTATTTTCCAAAACCTGTCACACAGACGCTCAGTCATGAACACACACCAGTGTGCCTCCGTGTTATATATCTGTCTGTCTGCTTGTTTTTAATTTTTTTTGTTTTTAGGGCCCATGCCACTAGTAAGTTGTCTTTCATATTCCTGGCATGATTTTCCGATGTATTTCAGTATATTTATAGGTCATTGTTCTACACCCACACAGACCCAAACACAATTGTTAGTCCACATTATAACTGCACACACGTTGATGACACCCCTCCATGTCCTCCCGCCTCCCAGCTGCTCTCGCCGGAAGATCTGGTCAACGCCTGCAAGGTGTTTGAGTCCCTGAAGCTGCCACTCAGGTGAGGGGCCGGGGCTGTGGGGCGCGATGGGTGGCAGCTCAGCCCAGGGCATCCGCTGGCCACTTCCTGTATCGCATCCTGTTTTGAGAAACCCTGACCAGCCCTGATCCCCTCAAGAACCTTACACCATTCATCCCTTGTACTTCATATTAAGCAACAGCAACAAGAAAAATATTACTATTTAAACTAATCTTTGACTGTTTTGTAAATGCCTTGTACTGCACTTGGATTGTGGTAGATTTTTACCATTACTTGTTTCTCCCAAAAAAAATCTATAGCTTAATTTCCTGTGTGTGTGTGTGGGGGGGGGGGTGTAACAGGATTTTTGTGAACAATGCTATAATACGGACATTTCATCTTAAGTGGAAAACAGGAAGTCTATGGTATCCTGGTGAGGACAATCTTCCCACCCAAAATGTTGGTAGCATTACTGGATTTGTAGCATTGTAGCATATGGTAATCCTGGTGAGATCCCACTCTTTAGTGAAACGGATGTTGTGAGAGTTTGGCTGTCACCTTGCAGCCTTTCTTTCAGAAGATGCTCCCAGTTTCCCTTAATACGTAATTCTGCAAACACTTTGTTAATAACATTTGTCATAGTAGTAAAATACGAAAACAAACACCCTGTTTTTCATGTGAAAAATTGTATGAAGGTTCCTCCCCTCTCCATGGAGCTAAGAATTAATGGCAGTATGAGAATTACAAATTAAAAAATCAGGGATTTATGTATTTAATTACTACAATATAGCAGTTGGCTGACCTTCAGAGTTGGTAAATTTAGCTTCCCATAGAGATTGTACATGTTTGTAGTGCCAGAGGGGGAATCGCTCTGTGAATGATGAAAGTACCCTATTGTAGTTTTTAGTCGGGCATTCATTAATGTTATGTCTTTTATTAGTATGTAATCAGTTAACGCACCCAGACCACCTCCCCCAGCCCCGTCAGGTGTGCACCTCGCTCACCGTGGGTGGGGCTTGTCTCATGCGCTCTCCAGGCTGCGTGTTTTTGACAGCGGCGTCATGGTGGTCCAGCTGCAGTCCCACAGTGAGGAGGAGATGATCGCCTCAGCTCTGGACAATGTGAGTCCGCTTCCAGAGCGCAGTTCCCACCTGCCTCCTGTGGGGAGTGCTCAATGACTTAGCCGGGGGTTCATCGAAATCCGCCCCCCCCCCCCCAGTACCCCTCCCAGTGCAGCTTGCTCTGCTTAACTGACACTAAGAAGTGACACTTGCACGTTTTATGGTGGTACAGTTGCAGTCCCTCTCAGGGCTCCAGGACCAGAGCAGTTTTTAAGCTCAAAGTCCACATCCTTAACCACCAAGCGACCTGCTGCCTCATTGTTTTCACGGCCCCGGTCAGAAATCCTGTCTTAATGGCAGCAAATCCCACCGAGTCATGTGACGGGAATTTCCGGATGGCCTTCTCTCGCCAGAGTTCCTTCAGACCTCAACTCTGATATGGATCACGAGCAGGAAGCAACATGGTGCCTGAAGACATGAACTGGTGACCGGTCTCTGTTTGCAGCTGCTTTCTGGCATCTGTCCTCCATCCAACGCAGAGCAGAGACTGTGTGTCAGCTGAGCATTTAAATCGCGTAAATTGGTGTGATGTAACAGTGTCTGGGTAGCCCCTCCCCATGCCGAATTCTTGCATAACTGGCCCCGAGCCGGGGACCCTACACAGGCTGGAGGGGCAGCCTTCGGGGGGGGGGGGGGGGAGATCGCTTCCAGATGTGCCTATGGAACAAAAACAGTCTTTATTGATGTGATTTTTTTTTTTGTTGTTGTTTTTGGGCTGGAGTTTTGGTAGAAGGGGTTGTGGGTTGGGCGTTGAGGCTCATCAGTTGGTGCCTTTCCAGTTTTCCGTCTAACTTGAGTCCAAAGCCAGAGTTTTACAATAACGTTTCAAGCCGCTCCAGTTCCCCCCATGTAAATAACATTGAGCAGTTATTTGTGGATCATTATGTAGGTGCACCTGCACGCACCAGCGTGTTTTGGGGGGATAGGGGTTCAGCTATTGCAAGTCGCCCATGGAGACGCATACGTTACCTTCCGTGTCCCCCCCTCTTGGCAGGTGTCTGAAAAAGGCTCCCTGACCTCAGAGGAGTTTGCCAAGCTGCTGGGTCTGTCTGTTCTCCTGGCGAAGGAGAGGTGAGTCTATGGTTTAGACCGTTTTTTGTCAATGAGAGGAAGATTGCAGTGCAATGTAATCAGTTTAGAATACTGAATTCAGTACATGCACTGATAAAGTACTAATACAGCAGAAAATATAATGATCTTCTTTAATATATATGTTGTTAAGTAAAACAGTTTGCTTTCGGGCAGTGCATGGCTTAGTGGGCTACACTGCTGTGCTTGGGATCAGAAGGTCGCTGGTTCAAATCCCAGAGTCGCAGAGTGATTTCACCTGTAATCCCTAGTTGCTCCAGGGACTGGCTAACTCTGATTTCTCCTAAGAATTGTTGTTTATATGTCTCACTTGGAGTTGCCTGTTGGCTTCGGATTAATGGCCAGGATCTGGCCCAACCCCCACCCCCTCAGGTTGCTGCTGGCGGAGAAAATGGGACACCTGTGCCGTGATGACTCAGTGGAGGGCCTGCGATTCTACCCGAATCTGTTCTAACAGGCCTGTGACACCGCCCCAGACGAAGAGTCCTTCTTGGGTGTGAACCACGTGCTTCGAGTCCAGCAGTACTCCTCCGACGCAGAGGAAATAGCAGCCTCCTCCGCCCCCCCCCCTGCCCTCTGAGATCACATTCAGCTCCTGAAAATAGATGAAATCTGCATGAGGGCAGGACTGGGTCTGCAAAAGCTCAGACCCCTTTCCCACATGCCATAGCTTACGCAGGACTCTTTGCAGGGGTGGGGTGGGATTATTGGTAATTTTTCCAAATTCAGTTTACGTTCGGTGACACTGTTGATCAGCACAGTGTTATAAATGCCACATCACTCCATATCTTCTGTCCATACAGTTTTTTTTTTTTTTTTAATAAATTAGCCTTTAAAACACTTTGTTCCTATTGATGACTTGGTCATTTCTTAGCCGAAATAAAAAATAAAATAAAAAATTTGCCCTTATTTCTCCTCCTTCGGTACTTAAAGGTGCCTTGTACAGTTTAGTGGCAGCATGTTTTTTTTCATGGTACTTTAGTACCTCGCAGGATTCTGTAACTCAGATTTGTTTACTGAGAGTGCCATACTGCATCGTTTGCCTATTGACCCCTGAAGCGATACAGGATCTGTACAGAGATCTATTCTGAGGGGCGGATACTGCTTCTCCATTACATTTATTTGCTCTGCTGACACTTTTTGTTCAAAGGTAATTATCGTTTTTACCACTTTACATCCATCTAGAAGTAATCCACTTAGGAACCTCGCTGATATGCGCAGCAACAGGTCCTGACGTCACATCTAGCGTGGCTAAGCAAACAGCTGACCGCTTATGCCCTTAACCAATACGAACTCTATTTATTATGTATAGGAGTGTAAGAATAATACGTGTGAAATCAAGGAGCTGAATATAGGGGGAGAGGTTACAGGAGTGGGGTTAATAGTGGATTGAGTTACTGCATCAGTTATATTTTAACGCGACCTCATGTATTGAACATCCCAGGTATGAATTAGGGCCTCGTCGGCAACCTGGTTCAGTTAGTTATTCGCTTTTTTTGCGTTTCTCAAAGATGTTTCTTTGAATAGTCATAGATCCTACGAGAGAGCTTCAAGTAACAATATATAAGAAGTATTTTGAAGTAGTTAAATGTCAAACCAGAATCCGATGGATTTGACTCACTACACGTAGTAAATATAGGCATTTACCATGGGACCAATCCAACCAGCCAAGTTCTAATTGAATTAGCGCTAAAGGCTTCCTAATTACCGACAGAGGGAGCAGAGGGACCGGGGAGGGACGCTGGTGGGTGTCACTATGGAGCCTGATCTTCCTGCCCGCTCTCATTCACCGTCCGCTGAACAGCAGCGCTCCCCTGTATTATGTGCGTCCATCGCAGCCCCGCGACTCCCATTCATCACCATCTTCCTCCGTGTTCACGAGAGCCGACATGCGCGCAGCTTACAAAGGTGACCGTCGCTTCACTGTTCGCGGTGCCTGAGAGTAGAAAGCTACGATCGCTAAGAAGAGCGACGGTATTTCCAGCTCGCAGCAACTGTAAGTATATTGTGTAAGTACAGAGCCTCAATGTCAGCCCCAGATGGATAAGGCAATAAATTATTTAACACCACTTTCATTACTGGAATTCAAACTGCGGTGAAGGTACAAGGGAAACAATGTATCACATGTATTTATACCTGCATATCGATACGTTTCGTTATGCGTATTTATCATGCATTGTTTTAAATTCTCTTCAGGCTGCATTTTCAGTGTCACTAAGGGAAGGAGCGACGCGCACTTTTCCTGCGTTTTTTCTTTGACGCCTTCACATATTGTTAGTATTACATGTTCGGTGGCAGGCAGGGTGAGGACGCTGGATCACATGCGATTATACGCTGTATTATGCTGAGCATCCAGAGCGCCAACTGCGTTGTAAGGGGAAAATTGTAGTCATCGATTTGGACAGCAATTGAGGTTTTGGGAAACTGCCCGTGCTATGACATGGTGCGATACAAATTCACCGTGGAAAAATATAGGCTAGGACTTGTGAACGAATTTTATGTTCGCTCCCTGACACGCAAAATGAAATGTCTATCTCCAGTCTATTTAAAAAATCACTGTAGTATTATCCCATTGTTGTGGAATGATACTTAAAAGAGTATTTGGGATACGTTTCAAAACATTTCCAGTAAAATATACAATGGATCAAGTCGTGCTTTTATTTGGAACCGCATTTGATTGATCTTAAGGGATTTCCATAATGTTAGATTAATTAGTCATAGTTATTGGATGACTTTGTAGCAACACCTGCTCATCTACTTTCCTGACCTTGAGAGAATATTATAGACAGTTTAACTAACGAACGAAGACTACTAACAAATATTTTCAACTTTCCAATCTTAAATCTTTTTTTATCCTGCAACTCTTCGCAAGTGACATGGGTCAGGATTTCTGTGTATGCTTTATTCCTAACGGTGGTTTTCCCTGACTAGGAGAGAACAGAAAGAAAGTTTTTAAAAAATATATATCATTGTGCTGTGCGAACGAAGAGTGCTTTGACTCTTCGGGGTCTACCCTGCGGACCCCCTGTGGACCCCCTCAACACCGGCGGTCCTTTCGCACCTAGTGCGTCCACAGCCTGAAAGTTTGATTCTGACCGACAGGAGAAACGGCGAGAGCCTAGCGACGAGCCGGGGGCAGACGGATAATCAAGGACCTCTTCACCGCTTCTGGCTGCCGTGAAGGGGCAAGCTGTGGGTCATGCGGGGTAAGGGGGTCCCGGAGCGTAGCAGCCGGAATGACTCAGGGTCCCCCCACGGTGGTCCTGCTCCTGTTCCTGCTCTGGGGAAGCGGTGAGTGAGACCTCTGCTTGTAAATCACAGCTTATTTGTACTCAGATAAATTCATATCTCACCGGAGCTGAAATATTCCCATATTATGCTTTCTTAATGCGGCTTTGAAGAAAACCGTCGAAAATGGCGTTATACGTGAAAGTATGCAGTTTTTCTGGTTATTAGATTACTGACATCTGTAGCAGATATGTATACAGCACAAAACCTGCAAGCCGGCCATTTACTGGGCTTGTCACGTGTGAAAAATTTAAAAATTGCCGCTCGTTGTAATAGGTTGTATATTGTTGCGGAATTCTGTGTTTTAGCCAGTCCAGGACTGAACCATTTCCATAGACGTCCAGTTAAAACAATACCCATTGATGACTATAAATACACGACATCTGCATTTTGTGCCACCTGCTATTGTGAGCCGCTTTGAAGGTCAGCGATGGGATATTCAGATCGCCGACAGAAATAGGAAACGCCAGAGAAAGGAAGACTGAATGTTGCAGGCCTTTTTACTGTCTTTGCGTTGCATTTTTTTAATTTGATTTTTGATTTTTAGATTTTTAATGTAGACATGCGTCAGCTCATTAAAAAGTTTTTTTTTTTTTTCAGAAAATTGCATCTGTAAATGTTGCCTTTTATTGCTTAACCACGACTAATACATTTCTAAACCTATTTGTGGGTATATGGCAAAAGTTAAATATCTTACTAAAAGCTACAACATCAGATTCCGCCCTGGGACTTGAACCCCCCCAATAATCATGTCTCCCCCTAAATCAGTGGAGATCTAACCCACCATGTTCAAACCAAAGTTACGTCTGTTAGAGCCTGATTTTTTGTCACTCCTGTATAGTATTGGTGTTGCAAGCTTTAGCCCCAAGGCTTCCAGTTTTGGTTCAGGAGGTGCTGAAGAGCAGCAGCCCAGTGAAACTTCCTTAACGAAAATTCTTAAAGAATGCAAAGATTTTTATTTGCCACATGCATAGTATACAGTCATACAATAGCCTGCAGTGAAATGAAAAGTGGCCAGATCTGCCGTGATAAAACTTGTACCGGTAATATCAATAAAATAACAAGACAAATAGATAAATAACAATATAATAAATAAAGAATAGAATGTGATACTGGAAAAAAGGAAATGGAAAGAAAAAAGGAAAATCAGAGAGGAGAAAAAATCCTCAAATATTCAGCTATATAAAAAATACATTTTAACCATAAGTGTTCATTGACGATGATCTGTGCCCATTCTTTTTTGCATTCTTTCTGTCTTTTCGTCTAGCTCTGGCCAAAATTCATCTCTGGCCCTCCGCGTACGTTGCTCTGAGCAATGAGAGTGTTTTCTTAGATTTTACCTGCAATCACAACGCAACCACAGATCGGACTATGACCTTGTCTCTGGTGGACATGGATACAAACCTCACCGTGGCCTCGCAGACTTTGAGCGGCAGCCAGCAAAAGGGAGCCCTCGAGCTAAGTTGCACTTTTTTCCGCTATGCTGGAAGTTTTAGGTTCAAATTAAATGGCGATGGCATCTGTGACGGAGACAACGCCACCCAGTGGTGGAGCCAGGTACTGCACATCCAATGGCCTACTTTCCATATTTCTGTGGAGAGGACCAGCAACCAGACCTCAAGTTCATTCCAGATCAGCATCTCTACAAATGAGCACTTCCAGCCTTGTTTTAACTTCAGCACTTCATCGCTTTATTTGGAGATCACGTACCTGGAGTACAACCAAATAAGAAGGAATAGCATTGATAAGGTCCAGGCCCGGATCCAGCGAGACGTTAAGGTCACAAGATCACAGCGGGTTGAACTGGAGTGTGTCTTTCCCTTTACTGAGAGGGACTACATCACAGTAGCTCTAAAGTCCCGTGTCTCCCAGCGAGACATCATGATGTCAGGGCCCCTCTACCTGTCACGCATCTTCTCCTACGCGTTACTGGTGGACAATGCGCATGTGGCCGGGTGCGAGGGCGCGGTGGCCGTGCGACTCCTGCCCCCGCCCTGCGCCTTCACCGGTGGGAAAGTGGTCCTCTCCCGGGACGGAGGCCAGGAGGCCGCCCACAGGTGGCTCACCCAGGGTGAGAATGAAACCGAGTTCAACTGCTCAGCCTTTGACCCGGGAAGACATAGATACTGCTTTGATTTCGTCCTCAACTTCAGTTCTCGGAGTCTGGCGCAGACATGCATCGTTGTGCAGCGGAATGCAGGTGAGCCCTTCCTCGTTTCCTAAGAGGTTTCCGAGAATGTAATGTCTTCATTGGTGTGTTACGCTACTGATTCCATTGTTAGTTTGTAGTTTTTCTTATCTCCGGTACCAAAGTTGATATGTACATGAAAGAGGCTCATCATTTGTCTCTTCCAACGCCTTATGCTGGGTCGCCCACCCATGCAAGACACATGGGGACCGTGGCAGGCGTGGAGTCGCTGCAGCGTGAGCTGCGGGGAGGGCACGCGGGAGCGCTTTCGCGAGTGTCTGCTGCCTCCTGCTGGTGGGTCTGGGTGCAGCAAGCTGGTGAGGGAGCAGTCTCACTGCTCCTTGGAGGACTGTGCAAGTAGGTGAATTTTCTGAGGTTTCTTTTGCTTTGCATATCATTCAAAATTATACATAGTGTCGTATGTCTTCCTGAGGTCCAACAGTTCGTTTTTGATCTCTAAATGCTATTGTTCCTTAAAGGAGATGATGGATTTAAGATGACATGACAACACATGGGGGGAGGTGACCATGCCAACTCCCTCTTCCTGTCAAATCAAAATTTTATACCATATGCAAAACCCTTTTCCCTGGATCTTAGGAGAATGTCACAAACCAGCTCCACAAATGATAAATTGCAAGTACACCTTGCTGCAGCCTGTTGGATGGGGCAGGGTGAGATGTGGGCGGAGCTAGATGTCACTCAGTTACTATATATGGGTGCAATGACGTTAATGGTACCACAGGTGGACCAGGAGGTTAGGGTTAGCGTTATGGTTGTGGTTAATTTAAGTAGTATCGTGAATATTTTCCTAATCTTGTTTCAGTGAATCGCAAAACCTAACCTTAATGTGTTTCTATACCAATGTGTTCTACTTAAAAAGACATAAAGGCATGCGCAGTGTTTGTAGGAATTCTATTACTTAGACTAGTAAATACTAAGATCCTTCAGCTCTTAATTACCGTGACATGACAGTCTAAACAACAAATACACACCATGTCATCCATCTTTACATCTTGTATCCTTATATGATAATTGTGTGACATCTCACTCTGCCCACATCTTGCTCTGCCCACATCTTGCTCCGCCCACATCTTGCTCCGCCCACATCTTGCTCCGCCCACATCTTGATCCACCCACTTCTTCCAGGTTGCAGCGAAGACTCTCTCATAACTTGCAGTACTTATAATCCTTCTAATCTTATAATCACTTCTAATCACTTTAATTAAGTTTATAATCACTTTTTAAACCTTTATACCACTGGTCTCCAGCCAGGTGATTGGGATTGACAGGTAGATCTTCATGACATGGACACGCAATAGTTGATCATGGCACCCTTAGCCCCCCCACCCGCTCACCCCTTCCCCTGACAATCAGCAAAATGTAACCCCACCCCAATCAGAGAAATACATCATCACGAGGAACCCTCCCCCAATCTAGCTAGGGGGATTCCCCAAATCAGTGAAATACACAGATTAATTTCTCATAAAAGTAGCTTTCATTGAAATAAAAGTTGGACACCACTGCTATATACAGTAGGTAAATTGTATAATAAGGCCCATAACTTTAAGTTTTTCTGTAATATAGCAGGTAATTTTTCAATGATCTCTCTTTCTGTCAGTAAGCCCATGTAAATCCTGTAAATCACCACCGTGGTGTGTTCCCCCCTCCATGTTCCCGCAGTGCCCGCCCCTTCCGTGTCGTCCCCCCCTCCCGTCGACACTTCACTGGGGAGCAACCTGGTAGCTGTGGTGGGCATCTCCCTGTGCCTGGTGGTGATCGTGGTGACGGTGCTGGTGACCGTGTGGCGGAAGGCGTGCCACGCCCCCAAGTGCACCTCAGTGCGGCGCGGCTCTCTGCACTCGCCCGGCGGCCGCAAAAACTCGGACGAGGCCTCCATCTGCGGCCACAGCCTGCAACGGCCCAGCTTCTCGGAGAGCCTGCAGGCCACGCCGGGTTGCCAGCCGCCACAGACCCTCCCCCAGCCCCTCCAGGATAAAGAGAGGGTGTCCCCGACTGGTCAGAAGATTGTCCCGCCCATTTTTGGGTACCGGCTGGCTCAACAGCAGCTGAAGGAGATGAAGAAGAAGGGTCTGAGAGAGGCCACTCAAGTCTACCACGTGTCCCAGAGCCCCATCGACGACACCATGCTAGAGACCACCGCTTCCACCTCTGCTCCCTTGACTCCAGTGTTCCCAGACTCAGACAGCCAAGAGGAGGCCAACCTCGGCCAATTTCGCATCAAATCCCCTTTCTCAGAGCAGCCCAAAGTGGGCAAAAGTTCATCGGCCACCCTCCCGGACCGGCTCAGCCCAAAAGGGGACCCAGCGTCTCGGGCCTGGCGGAACGAGCGTGTGGCGGATTGGGTGGAGATGGTGGAGCGCATGGGAGCTGGTCACCCGAGGAACGCCAGTTTCAAGAGGACGTCCAGCTTCCATGACGCCAAACCCCAGCAGCTGCTGCGGCCCTTCAGGGAGAGGAGCATGACCCAGGTGACCCCACGGCAAGCCAGGGAGGCCAGCAGCAGGGCCGGGACGTGGGATCCATATCGTAACCCCGAGCGGGATGACTGGGGTCGCCCCAGACCCAGCCCGACTGAAGGCATGGCGGATGACAGGTGTCGGGGGTGGTCAGACAGGGCTACCGGTCACCAGGAACTGAGCCGTGTAGCCATACCGGCAGCTGGGCCTGGAGCAGAGATCGCTGGTAAATTAGACCGGCAAGAATCCGAGAGAGTGGAGAGGGCTGAGCTGAACTGGAGCAGGAGGGGCCCCTCGCCCATCCAGAGGAACATCCTGGCCCGCAAGCTGAAGGAAGCCAACTCCTTAGCCGCATGCCAGCGGCAGCGTGTCGCTTCCGGCTGCCAGACCGACCTCCGGCGGGACAAGTGCCAGAGCCTGCCGGCAGCCTCCAGCCACGCCGGCTTCCACCGATCCCACTACGGCCTGACGGAGTCCGAGCAGCGCATGATGGACCTGTCTGGCTACCTGGGGGAGGAGGACGCTGTGGAGGTGGTGGAGATCCACAGACTTACCTGATAGCGCCTGAGCGAGGCCGGCGGGGACGTGGTCACCTGCCGTTACTGCAGTGACCTGCAGTGTTACTTCCACCACCTACAGATGCTGTTTGCTACAGATTTTAAGCTGCTCAAGGCCTAAGGGTTGTAATTTTGACTCCTGTTCAACAAAGTTTGCTTTTTACATTTTATTTTTCATACAATTATCCTCTGAATGCTTTTTAACTGTACAAAATGGTTCAGCACCTGTGCGAGGAGTTTAGTAAATATCTACGACCAATCTGTGCAATGCCTTCATGTATATTTGCATCTCATTGTGATTGAAATCCTATGAATTAGACGTTAATTATTACATACCAGGACACCAAAGGGTTTTTAATATGCTGTTTTATTGAATATACACAGAATGTGCTATACAAGACAGCCGGTCAATATATATGTTTGCATATCTGTTTGAAAAAATCAGTTTTAACTATCAGCTGCTAAAAAAAGTTTTTTTTTTTTAAATGCACACTTTGAAACAATAATAGTCTGTCAAACTGCTTAGGCTGTAAATGCAGAAGCCATAAAATTCAGAGTAGATAATACTTTTGAGTTCAGTCGTGTCGTTTGGTCCAGCGAGGCCTGTTCCAGATGGAAGCAGGGGCCTTTCTTAGTTGCCTACTCCCCAGGTCCTGCTCCACTCCCCAGGCTATCCATGAACAGCAAGGGCCGGACCTTCATGGAGGTGTGGCGGAGGGAGTTCCAGAGCCCCCGCCACGTGAGCCACACCATTCCGTTGTCGTGCGTGCCCTTGTACTCCCCATTGCGGTAGAACTTTCCGTTCAGGTTGGCTGCGTGACATCTGAAATACAAATGCCCCCCCAACCAATGAGTGGCATCGTTTTACTGAAGGTTTATATTCTAATTGCTCATTGTTAAACAATATTGTGATGACTGTGAGAAAGAGTGTAACTGACTTAGGGCTTCGAGCATAGAGAAGTTCTCTTGTATCACTGTTAACTATCAACAGCTAACAAGATAACAAGCATGAAAACACAGGTTGACTGTTTTTCGGTTTTTAACACTGATGTCCCGAGCTGATATCCAAAATCGTAATCTGGCCCGATCCAGGCATTTTTTAACATATCAGTATCTGCTACCACAACCCGCTCAAAAGCCCGACCTATTCAATTTCCCGCCTTCACACAATTTACGTCAGTTGCGCAGACTGTGAGACATTGTCAGGTTCCGTCACGCGCTACAGTGAGCCTCAGGCACGTGGCTTGAAACTACAAACTATGGAGATGTCAGTCACGTGGAAATTCTTTAAAATAGAAACTCAAAGTAGCCCAACGGCTACATGCAATGTTCACAATGCCATCCTTTCGAGAGGAGATGGCAACAGTGTCGTTTAATAGAAATCTAGTTAGGCACTAGCAGAAACACCGTAAGGAAAAATGCTACAAAATCAAAAGGCTTAATCAGACGAAGAATGTACCGATGTCTACTGCATGTGTACATACAGGCAGTGCCAGGTTTAAGAACGTCCAACTTACGGACAACTCATTCTTTCAAACAGACTGCCATAAACCCTATCATATTAAAAATGTGGGTTAAATACAGTGGTTCGTAATAACCTGGGGACTGCCTCTGTATTTATTAAAAGATCAGACCAGAATTGTCAGATAAGAATATAAAATGGATCAGATCAGATCCGGGTAACAGAAAAATGGATCAGAACATCCCTACTTTTTATCTGTAAGCATTGTCACAACCCAGACAGTAGTCTATCGCTGCATTACCACCAACAAACAGAGGGGGTGCTGAAGCACCCTCAGCACCCCTACATCCAGTGATAGACTTCAAGTGGTCAGTTTTGTTCTCTGTAGTTCTTTAGTGGCCTTATGTACCTGGGAGCACTTCTTCATACCTGTTGTACCACCAGCCACCCTTGTTCTCCTTGGCGCAGCTGCCCTGCAGGTACCGGTCATGGTCCCGGTCTCTAGTGCTGAACGGCATGCCGTTGTGAGAGATGGACCACTGGTCCTTCATATGACTCCCTCCAGAAAGAGCATCCCCTGCCTTTCCACTGTAAAGGCCAAACTGCAACCGATACTTGCCCTAGTGGGAGAGAGCCAGAACCCGGAGGATACGTCTTAGGGTGCAGGGTACTAAGATCAAAAGACTGCATTTTTTTCCCCCTGCTGTCTGTCAAAGTGACATCTGACCACGTCACAGCTGGACAGGGTCACGGTTACGACCTCTAGACATACCTTCTCATCTGATATCCGAAAGTTTTCGTAAAACGCATATGTCCTCTGACCATTCCAGTCCATTAAATCGATCCTCATGAGATTCTCACCTGGTAATATAAGCCGAAACTCTAACGAGCCGTAATAAAATGCAAACAGCAATATTCGACGACGATATTTCAGGTATACGTCACACTCAGGAGGTATATTGCTGAACATGCCTTCTTTTAGAAGAGTATAAATGTGTTCATTCCCCAGCCAGAATTCATCATTCTTTTCTTTAAAATGGCCAAATCCTGACTTATATTCCTCCCAGTCTCTGGGAAAAAGATATAAAAAAACATCATAATTGGCAGGTTAATTTTTGTTACTCGTAAATTATGGTGAACTATTTGGAACACAATAACACGGAAAACATTTTTTTTTTTTTGAGTATTTTAGGCGGTTTTCCATAATCTGCATAGCTTACCGGTTAAAATCCACCTTCCCATTCCGTCTTCGTTGTACGACGGTCCAGCCGCCCCCATGAGTCATATCACAATACACAAGAAATGGTTCCATGTCTGATCTGGGCCTGATTCGGTAGAACCCACTAGGGGGCTGGGCCCTGTTATACAACGTGGAGCAGTCTGAAAAGAAGCAATTTCAACAATAAATATATTACTTTTATAGAAATATTTCATTGAAAAAAATATTGTTTATTGGAAATCCTTACCTTGGTCATAGACAATAAGATTTCCTGATGTCTTGGGAAGAGCGGTTGTCTTCAGTTCAGCACTTTTCATCGTCTTATTTAAGTTTGGTGGTGATGATGAATGTTCCGTACTTGGCCTGTAGAAATGATTATGTTCACGCAGGTTCCTGAGCTGCCACGCCCCGATGAGGAGGCTGCTCTGCAGGCTGCCGATGCTGCTCCTGAGCTCCAGCAGCTCCCGACGGCATTCTTCCTCTGGCTTAAAAAAAGTGGGTGGGGTGTAATGTATAACTGAAATCATACCACTTTGTGCCCCGCGTTTATCAAACATACGAAATGAGCGATCAGGTAGCGGTCCTGGTGGACTTGCATGGGAGCGGTACGTACTGAGGATCGGTACGACGCAGAAACGCGCCGCAACAAAAACAGCAGTAATGTCGCAAACACCGTCTTCATATTTATTTCTTATGTTACCTGGGGGGATTAAAATATTGATTTATACAACAAGACCGAAAGTCGTCGGATGTTAAATAATACATTTCATTTATTACAGAAATTGCCAAGTTACAAACCGCGCAGTGTTTACCAAAGTTACACGATACTGTTTAAATTCTTTTACAAACATGTAAACATACCGTCATTCCTTAAAGAAAGGAACGGGACGAGGTTCTCCTAGCGCTGCCAGTTGCGCGCAAATACCTTCTTTTATGTCGAAAGTGTTTTTTAATCATTATTTATAGGGGCTGCTCGTTCCGCATGGTCTTCATTATTGCAACCAGCGTTGTCCTCCTATCGCAGGAATTTTCCTGGATCAGATGGTGGGCAATCCGACAGATCTCTGCTTCGTGACCTGCATGGATGAGCAGACCTAAAAAGCGCCTGGCTGGAACAGGATGTATCCTTTAAACAGAAGCCCGGGTTAATTTAACGAATTTATTAATTTAAATGAGTTTGGCTTTATAAATAAAAATGTAAGTATGTTGCTTTAAAATTACTGCCACGAGTTGGTGCCTCGTCCTGGGTTGTTCATGCCTTGCGGCCAAAGTCTTTGGGATAAGCTCCAGACCCCCTCGACCCTGAACAGGATAAGCGATGGATGGATGGATGGATAGATGTTTCAGAGAGTTAACCAATCAAATTGTAGAGGAAGACATTGCCGATAGGCTCCGGACCCCCTCGACCCTGAATAGGATAAGCGGTTACAGAAAATGGATGGATGGATGTTTTTAAATTATTGTAGTTTATTATAATGTATAATTTATTATAAACTACGTTACTTTGGATAAACGATCCTGTTTGTTTATTTCGAATTAACTTGCGAGGAACAATGTGACATTTTGTGTTAATTATTTAGTTAATATTGTTTTTTTAAAATCACAGTCGCAGAAATTGGTAAATCAAATAATTTGACGTATTCAATCATGCTAGTCGACGGAGGGGGGTGAGAACAAACCCACAAAACGAATAGACCGACTGCTGGAAGCCGAGGAAGCTGGATGAGCGGCAGTTGGCTGAGTGATGAGGGGAAGCGACGCTGCGCTTCGGGGAAGCTGCAGGAAGTTAAAAAACCGCTACGTCTGCAGGGCAGCCGAGGAATTACTCTGGAGAAGAGTTACAAAAATACCTCTGTCAACCTTTGAACCTCATTCTCCCGTCCTCCATCAGAGTCACAAGACAAAGCCGACTGAAGTACGGGGACAACACTAGTAGGAAAGTTGTATCGTACACATTTGGAAATGAACAGGCGGTAATCGAACAAGCTGGGAAAAACACATACAAAGCGAAAAAACAGCGACCAGAGCAATCTACTCCCCTCCACTGGTTGGTCTGTTTTATATTACTCTTCCTTACGGGACTTTGCACGTCTGCATGCAAGTTCTTCATCTTATTCTTATAACTAAAGGTCACATAGAACATTTTTCATTCTTTAAGTCGCATTATTTTAAGTGATTAGGTGTTTATTACGTATGGAATGAGCTATAATTACGAAATCCGTTCTTATCGTTTGGAAAGCAAAGCATTTTCAGCTGAGCTGGACGTATTTCAAGGGTGTTATCCGGTTTTGAAATTTCATTAAACATCAAAAACATAGCTTACTGTGCAGTGAGTGAAAAGTTAGTCACTTTTCCGTAACTCAGATGAAAGGTATGTGAAGTGAATGGATATCTGTGCTTGTTGCCTGATGGTGGATGTAGGTAATAGTACAGGTGTTTTTGATAATGTTGTAAAACAGTCGCAGCTTTTTTTGACCGTACTAATCTCCTTGTCTGTTTTGTTTGTGCGGTTTATTTTTAATTTTTTTGTTTTTTGTAAAGGTTTCTCTTTCTTGTGCAAATGTCGTCAGTGCTGTTCAACCCCGGGGCAGGCCCCAAAGTTAATGGGTAAGCTAACAACACCATTCATGCTGTGTTCGTTATTACATTTCTGGCATGTGTCACAGCTTTTCTTCAGTGCCATTTTATGCGAGTTTTAAAAGGCTTATGTTCCGAGCTGTAATGATTATCAGCTTTGTGATTTTTTTTTTTTTTGATTTTTTTTTTGGTGATGGTGAATGATTTTTCTTTCTGAATGACCATTAGACCAATGAATCTGCTCCAATCCGTGGCTGTGATTCTACCGGACCTAAAAGAAAATTGATGTGTGATGTAATCCTGATGTCTGACATTGTACCCTCCCCCACGGCGCCACCCCCACAGAGTTGACAGCAATGGGAAAGAAGAGGCCAGTGTTAGTATTGATGACGGAAAGGAGGAAAGCGATGATCCTGATACAATGCACCAGTAAGTGACACCACACTCCATGTGGGTGCTGAATTGCCAGTCACTGACTGAATTAATCCAATGTGGATAAGTTTTTGTTTTTTTTTTCTTTTAACATGAGAACCAACTAATGATCGACACATAATAATCCTGCCCACCGATGGTGTTGTATATCTCGTGAATAATGTACATAACTGTCTATTTGGATACGCAGTGTTTTACATGAGCTGTGGAACTGTAGTGTTGGGGATTACGGGAGTAATGAATCGTGTGTGTGTGTTTTTGTGTGTGTCTATATACACACACACACGATTCATTACTCCCGTAATTATTATTCATTATAATAATTTTATATTTTGTCCAACTGTAGGCTAATGTAAGTGTTCTAAGCATGATTAAGGTAGGCTAGGCTGTCATGTTTGTTAGGTATACTGTGTTAAAAAGCATTTTTGCCTTACGATGGGGTTATGTTCTGATAAACCTGTTGTAGCCCAGGGAGCGTGTGTATAGGTAAAGCCTGTCACTTTTAGCATTTATAATGATTTGGTTTATTTCCCTTCACTTGCTTGTTTTCCAGTCATATCCGAAAGAAGATTGCTCCATTTGTGATGTCTTTTGGCTTCCGGTGAGTGTGTGAAATTTGGCTGGATCATTGAAGCCCAGTTAAAAAAGGCAGGCAGTTCAGAAGCTCTTCAGATGTTTCTGCTATCAGGGTTTGGGGTTTTGTCCAACTTGATGGTGTTGCATTTCCATTGCAAAGGGTGTTTGGGTTGGTGCTCATCCTGGTGGACATCACCCTGGTCATCGTAGACCTCGCAATGACGGAACGCTTGTCCCACGTGCATGACACTCTAGAGGCGGTGTCTCTGGCCATCTCGCTCTTCTTCCTGGTGGATGTGATACTTCGAGTCTATGTGGAAGGGTGAGTGTGAAAATGCTGGATGTGAGTGTTTGAAGGCGTTGGGCAAAGTCTGCAAAACAAGCTTCCACTCTTACCATCCTTTACTAATTACTAATGATATTTTTCTTTTAATTTTGATTCAGATGAAGCGTAGGAGTTGGCAGGAACTCTGAGATCAAACACTTATTTCAATTCTTGCATGTTCCCTTCCTGTTTGTTTGTGCTGAAATCTGTCACATCGAATCCACTCTCCCAATCTGAATCCTAAGAGTCCTAATAAACTTCATTTTCACTGATTCAACCTGTTTGCCGTTCAAAAGGAAGGAAATCTAACAGTGTGTTAGCACACTACATGGGGTTTTTTTTTTCGGTTTTTTTTTTTCTTTTTTCTGCAAGCTTGCAAAATAGTTACGAACCGCAACTTCTCAACTTATGAACTGCTCCCTTAATAGCGACAGTCTGGGTGCCTGTTTACATTTGCCTGTTCATTAATAAGCGCTTTGGCTATGGTGGCCTGTCTGTGTTTCAGGTTCAAAGTGTACTTCAGCTCCAAGTTAAACATTGCAGATGCCTGTATTGTGGTCGTCACCCTCATCATCACCATGGTCTACAGCTTCAGTGATCTGTCTGGGGCCAAACTCATTCCCAGGTATTGGCTGTTTGCCTGTCCCAGTCTTACGGGTAAGGGAAGCCATGAGAAAATGGTTTCCCAAGGATACCGTGCTTCCTTAGTGTCTAGCTCAGCTGCAGTAGTTCTGCCGCTATAGTTCTGTATGTTTTAGTCCACTTAGCAACTTTATTGTTGAATTAATGTGCTCTCTTTGTTCCTCATGGATCCACCCTGGCATCTTCTCATTGGCCCATGTTCTGACATTTTCATAGGGTGGTAAGCTTCTTCAGGGCCTTGAGGATCATCATCTTGGTTCGCATCTTCAGACTGGCCTCCCAGAAGAAGGAGCTGGAGAAGGTCACCAGGAGAATGGTAAGATCTTGTTAAAGGCCGTAGAGAGCTGTCTTCAGGCTGGGGTGGATTCTGCTCATGTGACTCTAAGCCTTCGGTGCCACTAAACCTGTGCTACTGGCATAATCTCTTAATTGAATTTGTCAAAACCAGTCTGTCCATAGATCTGAGACTGCAATATAAACCATATTTGTTTGTTTGTTAAGGTGTCAGAAAACAAAAGACGCTACCAGAAGGATGGGTTTGATCTGGACCTGACTTATGTCACAGGTAAGTGGAGCAGAGTCTTGTATTGATTTAGCAGCTTTGATTGGAATCTGGTTACTTTGCCTCTGTATGATAATTGTTTTCTATGAAAAGTGTGAAAGTGTGCTGTTATTCCATTTATTTATTTATATATATATATATATATATTATACTGTCACTTATATGATAGTGTGCTGCTCCATGCTTTGGTTCCAGACCGCATCATTGCCATGTCATTCCCGTCGTCGGGGAAACAGTCTTTCTACAGGAACCCCATCAGAGTAAGCTGTCCGACACATATATATCAAACAAACAAAACATACATGCAGTTGTCATTTATATGTCATATATGCAGCTATTCAACAAGCCTAATCAGAATTGAACATTTGAGACTAGCCCTGTTTAGCCTTTGGCAGAAAATTACACAGCTAATACTTGGGGATAATAAAGGAAGAGTGCTACTTTAAATAAATAAATTTTTGATATTAGTTGTATCGTAAATAGCTGTTTTATCTCTTCTTTATAGGAGGTGGCAAGATTCTTGGATACCAAACATGAGGATCATTATAAAGTGTATAATCTCTGTAGTAAGTAATTTTACAGTTGCTTTTATAACCTGACAGCTGATTGAATGGTAACATTTGATTTAATGCTCCGAAATGATCTTGAAGTATTGGACTGGACTCACAGATGGGTGTTAGCTCCGAGAAAAACACTTTGCTGGTGAATGACTGGCTTGTCCTATAATCTACCATAGGTTACATCATGCAGTGTCTACGGTTGACTTCAGTTGGCTGTCAGTATAACTTTATGATTACTTGTGCAGGCGAGAAGGGCTACGACCCCCAGTTCTTCCATTACAGAGTGGAGCGAGTGTTTATCGACGACCACAATGTTCCCTCTCTGGAGTAAGTGACCTCTCCTTTAACTGTGGCAATGTGTCAACCACAGGGTTCTTCACTCTGTGATTATGTGCATGGCCCCTTGGCGTAGCTTCTGTAGCTCAAGAAATAGCGCACTGTAATAATGCAAAGGTCATGGGATTGAATCCCAGGGAGCACACAAAAATGGTAACAGTTTGTTCTACTGTAAGTCACTTTTGATAAAATTCAGATGGATAAATGTACCGGTTGGCCGGAATGTGCATGCTTTATCTGCATATTACAGAGATCAGAGGTGATTTTTTTTATTTTTTTTTTTCTCTCTCTCTCTCTCTGCTTACCCCACGCCTCGGCACAGGGCCATGCTGAAGTACACAGCCAGCGTGAGAGAGTGGATGGCCGCCGATCCCAGGAACATTATCGCCATCCACTGTAAAGGAGGAAAGGGTAAGCAAGGCATGATGGGGGTTGGTGTCATGTGAAGGGTCGTCTACACAGCCTTGCACCGGCCCAACACAGTGAAACAATCTATACCACAAAATTCAAATTTCTCCGTAACACATGGAGATTAAGACCTAGATATTGCAGGTCTGCATGATCAAACGGTATACAACAGACCAAACGATGTTAGTCATCAAATACAGTTCTCCCCTGCCCCCTGCTGGGGGCTTCGTGTAAATGCAAGCTACTGTACAGCTGAATGGGTCTATTTACCTCATCCATCCCAATCTGACAAAACTAATAAGCAGGAACTACTTTGTTACTCATGTGTTGATTTGAAAGTTAATAATGACTGGGTGTTGTACTCAGGAGTACTGCTTCCTTTAATTGTGCTCTGCAGGACGTACTGGGACTATGATCTGCACTTGGCTGATTGACAGTGACCAGTTTGAAAGTGCTCAGGTACCAGAAATAGGCAAAGTCCATTTGGGAGGGGGTGGGTCATAGTGTGTTAAGTTTATACCATCTTATTCTTTCCAGTTGACTTTTAGAATCTCACATTCTGTCTCTAAAGCAGACCTCCCTACACTCCAAATGGATTATTCCTTGTATGTGCTGTTATTTCTCAGTATAATGTCTGCTCTTGCAGGACAGTTTAGATTATTTTGGAGAGAGGAGGACAGACCAAAGCAAGAGCTCTAAGTTTCAGGGAGTGGAGACGCCATCACAGGTAAAGCCATGGAACACACACACACACACACACACACACTGCAGTTTTAAATGGCGAGTTCACATTGTATTGTCATATCTGCACTGTTGTTCCATCTTAACCCAGGCTGTACATTAAGCACTGCCAATTATCTTGGTTCCAGTGGTTTATGCCACCTGTGGGTTCAGAAGAACTATGCATAATGTTTAACATGGGCAGAAGAAGACTGGTTTAATCGGGCCTCTTTGTTACTGTAGAGCAGGTATGTGGGATACTATGAGATTATGAAAAATAAATACAACCGGCAGCTGCCCCCAGAGAAGAGTCTGAAAATAAAGAGCATTCGGATTCATTCTATAGCAGGTAAGGGATGCCGCTCTTCCAATTACCGTTCATTCCATTTAGGACCCATGAACACTTTAGGTGCAGTGACACACAGTAAATATCCAGTGTCTTTGCATACAGCGAAAATGGGTGTGACCGGGAAATATGAACGTGGTAAGTTTGGTACCATGGTATTTTCATTCAGTGGATGAATAGTGTTGCTTTTGAAAATACGACAAGATGCGTAAGACGGGTGGTAACTAGAGATGTGTTATAAGTGGGGATTGACACATCTGGTAAGCAAATAAGCATAAAGGGTTAAATGTGATGGTAATTTCTTGTCATAAGAGTGTAAATGCATATAAAATGCGTATCCCCTTCCATTTTGCACAACACATTTGGTTTAGCAACGCAAATTCACGGGTCCGTTCTTTTTAAATGAACTTGAGCAAAAATGCCCCACGACTTCACTTCACTACTGGAAGTGAGTTTCCTGCTTGACGCGTCGAGCAGCTAGAATGGAACTGAAAGAGAGATGAACAGTGTTTTGTACTAGTGTGACCATATCTTAAGACATTAAAATATAAATATATATAATAAACTTTGTTACATTCTGATCTATAGCATCCTCATGGGTGTTACAGAAGAAGCCTCCATCCCTCCAACCAGGCTACATGTCTGTGTTCTTAAGCTGCACCAGGTTGCCATTCAGAATGTCAACATTTTTCTATATTTTGGCTGCCCCTGCTTCTACAGGTGTGGGCAGAGGAAACGGCACTGATCTGAAGGTGAAGATCATAGTGCGGAAGGAGACCGTGTTTCAGTGTGCCTGCGATAAGCAGGATAAATGCACGGTAAGCCATTTGACAGGTGAAGCAAGGATTGAAACGTTTCTTATTTGGTTCAGATCATTATTGTACATCAGTAAGCAGGAATTATTTTTCTCACTATCCAGTCAGTAGCATATAACATCCTACTGGATTAGACAGTACAAAATAAGATAACGGCACTCCCAAACGTCAAAGCAGATGAATGGCTAACGACTGTAGAAGTCTATACTTATGAAATTTATATAAAATAAGACTGAAATGGAAGATGTGGCTCAACAGATTACACATACTGTACCAGTCAAAAGTTTGGGCATGCCTGTGGCATCACATCTATGTCAAACTCGAGGGCAATAGAACCGAAAGTGAAAAATATAAACCAGCAAGTTTTAACATTTTGCGTGCATAATATGAGCACAAACATGAAACCAGCGAGCACAGAAAAGAATTGCATGTCTGTCTGCGTCTCTAAGCGTATCAATTTTATTTTGATGAGAACAAACTAACTTAAATTGTGAAGTTGATTTTCTGGAGGAAAATTATTCATTTAGATTAATCGACTAATTGATAAAATAGTCGCTAGATTAATCTATAGAAAGAGTCGATAGCGGCAGTCCTAGTCATCATATCATGTTTAGAGTGTCACTTTCTTTCTCTAATGTTTATTTGCTTCTAGGTTTGATATATCCCTTGAATGCCAAGTGGATTACCATCGGCTGCTCTCTGTGTTCAAGTGAAATTTTTGTGTTCGAGTTGTGACATGGGGGGTGGTTTTGACAGTTTGGGGGGGCGGGCTCATGGCCATTACTGTCGGTGAATGCTATTGGCTGATGGCTCCTGGTTTTGTGATTTCCACACTTTCTGAGTTTTTTGTTTCTCCATTGCTCTCATGTTTCTGATTGTGCCCAACTCTTCTTCACCACCCACAAAACTGTATTCCATGTGGAGACCTATCGTTCAACATTTTATGTTCTCAATCACTGTTTTTGGAACTCTGGCACTTAGTCGAAGTTGAATAAAAGATGAATGTGTGCTGTGTTTACATAAGCCCTTCCTGTATAAGCAGGACATCAGTGAATATTACATTTAGGAGTTCCTCATGTCCGCATTGGGCTTTTCCCTCATTGCTTTGTCTGCAATTGTTTTATTTATTTCCTCTGCAGCTGTTCCCTGATGCTGGAAATAATGCAGTGGTGGTCAGTTTACAAGATGGACCGGTCGTGAGTGGGGATGTCAAGGTCATGTTTGAATCCAGTGCAGTGAGTTTTCCTCCTCATTTGAAAAATGGTCCTACTTGGGTCTGTTTCATTTAAAATTCAGGAATTCCTCTGTTCAGTTTCTCTTTTACTGAATGAAGTAATTGGTAGCTCTGATATTTACTGTGAATGTTAATGGTTGTTTCATCCTCGTTTTCAATAATTTAATGTAGTCTCATTTAAACTTTGGCTGATTTTATTTATTTTTTTAACCTAGGGTCTTCCTAAAGGGTATGAGAACTGTCCCTTTTATTTCTGGTTTAATACCTCGTTTGTGGAACAAAACAGGTAAACATTTGCCAAATCACGAGTTACATATATACATCTTATTTGGGTGGGGCAATACTGGGCTGAGAATTCTTTGTAATACTTTTGGATGTCATTTACTTTCTCCATGGGAGTCAGTGAAGTTCTGTATTATCTTCTCAGCCACATTCATGTAGGTGATCACATCCGTGACAATATGTGTGGTTCCTCAACCCCACTTTGCTTTTTAGGTTGTATTTGTCCAGGGAGGAACTGGACAATCCACACAAACCGAAGACCTGGGACATCTACAAGGAGGACTTTGGTATAACTTTGTCCTTCAGTGATGTGTGAGCACATTGTTGCAGGTGCCATTTCTGGGAATTCTAAAACATTCTGGAATGTTTTTCCACCAATTGTCTTGCACTAAGCCACTGACGTATAGTACACTTAACATGTTTGTTTTTCTTTTTTATTGAGTTTAGTTATTTCTGTGACAAGTGAAGGCTGTTTTGGAAGATCTTCACATTGTGTTGCAAAAGTATTTCCGGTGGAAATTTTTCCTGTACTGCATATGTCACTCCTGGTACATTATTGATGTACTGTGTGTAAATAAATAGTATCCAAAGACCCGTTTCAATACCTCATGCATTATCCAAAGTCAAATGTTTGAAACTGTATTGTAATTAAAATATACCCCGAAATTTACCTTACTTAAACTGTGATGAACTTCATTTAAATGTGCAACATGCAACATTTTATTTTTTTTTTTTATCGGTTTGTTTTGTTCTTTCTGTAAAATCTGAAAATAAACAGCTCAAATATGATTTTCCCATCCCCACTAAAAGGGAAAAAAATGTGTGTTAAGCTTAACAGTTTAATCTTCTCTATCAAAAAGGACAAACCAAATTGGAGTCCAGCAAGAAATTATCTATCCTAGCTAATCCTCTCAAAGACAGACAGAAAAAATTATAGTCTATCCAATAAGTTTTTTTGTATGGAAGAGTATTGAGTTTAATTACTGCACCATTACACCATAGCTTAAGTGAAGGACCCAGGACCCAACAGGTCAGCTGCAGGGTGAAGGCAATAGGCCTTGCTCCTGATATTTTCTTTTCTTGGCTAACAGTGGAGGTATAACAATACCTTTTTGGCTGTGTGATATTTTGTTTAATAAAATTTAATGAAACGATACCATTTGGCTTTGTGCTGTTTGTTCCTGAATAGGCTCTGGACCCCCATGACTCTGCATAGGACAAGCTAGTATGAATGAATATTATTTTTGTATAGTATTAAAGATTTTGGAATGCAGTATTGCTAAATATATATCGTGTGTGTACATATATCAATACAAATTGTGCGTGGGCATTGCCGCATGCTTAGGGCTGATTTGGGGGTAGGGGGGATGGTTATTAAAATTAGTAGACCCCCTAGTAAAGCCCTTTTCATGAATATCTAGTGACTCTCCTGTGTGTGTTTGTATTGTATTGTATTGTGTGTGTGTGTATATATATATATATATATAAAATGTAGACACACGAAAAACATTTTAAAAATCACAAAATACTTTGCTAAAACGGAGGGGAAGGTTCTAACTGCACAGCATCGTGGAATGAAATCACGATACTGTTCGATGCCCCCAGGTGCTCGGGCCGCCTGCCGGTAGGCGGGGCCTAGTGCGATGACGTCACGCGGCGCCTTGCGGTCTCTGGATGAGGAGCCGGAGTCCGGTGAGAGTCTTGCTCGCTCTACTCCCTTTAAAATTACAGATCGTTTTAACATAATTTATCCATAGTAATGGTTAACGGTAACTGAGTAAAACGAGCAACTTCTTAATCAAATTTGCACACGACGAAGGCGAAATTATCAGTTTTTACCATTCACTGGACATCTAGGTTAGCGAGTTAGCTATGCCGGATACTTTTCATCGCTCTGTTTGCGGAATAAAAGTGGTGACTCACACAAAGCAGCGGAAGCTATACATTTAGCGTCCAGTTACATGCGAGCTTGTGTTATGACAGCTGGCTACATAGGACGTTAGTGCTTTAAAGTAGTTATAGCTACCGGCTAATTACGGAATTTATCGTTGATCAGTTGCGAGCCGCATATACTATGGATACTCGGTTTTAGCTGGTTAAATTGCAAACGACAACCTTATGTTATGTGACGTCCTTCTTGGGTTTTCAATGGGTTACCGGTGTGTGACGGAAATACATAACTTCGTACAAGTTAAAGTTAGACCCCATGAAATTGGAAAGAGACATGTAAGCCAGGAAACTTTGTTCTAGGCTTAAGTCTGGACCTGCACCATGTCCAAAGAGTCCTTCACTGAAGCCGGACTTCAATTTGACGAGCTCAGTCGGATGCGGGTTCTGGACCCCGATGTGGCTCAAAGCACCAGCGAGCTGAAGACGGAATGCAAGGAGTTTATGGAGAGTAAGTGCAACTGAGCACCCTCAGGGAAAAAGTCTTCAGGGTTTACAAGAGGCAGGATTTGAGCCATGTTTTACTTGGGTGACACAGATATAGGTTTAAGGAGACGTTAATACGACCTCACATTTAACGAACTGTCCTGCAGCTCAGATCTGAGCATGTCTAGCCCTGAGACTGAATTCCTACCCTTTAACTCCACCCATCAGAAATCAGCCAGTTTCAGAAGGTGGTGAACGGACTAATTAAGACAGTGGATGAGCTGGCGAGGGAAGCGGAGACAGAAAAGATGAAGGTGAAGTAAATTAAGATCCTGTGCAGTTTAGTTATTCTGCCTCCATTCCTCAATTGTCCAACTATATTTTTGGCAGAGGTGTGTATATAAATAGATAGCATGTCTCTGAAGGCAATAGGAGCCAGAAACGTGCTGAAGTCAGTGGCCAAGCAGAGGGAGACCCAGCAACAGCAGATTCAGGGTCTAATTGCAGAAAAGAAGATGCAGCTGGAGAGGTGAGGAACTGAGGAAGCCGGGTTTTTGGTAACGTGTGGACCTCTAAAACTTTGTATCCAGAGCCCTTTGAATGGGGCCAAAAATAGTCGGAACTCACGGGTTGAGAATCGCTATTCTACGTTTCATCACATGATGTCAATCACAGTTGTTTGAATATGTTTAATCTTGTTGATCAAATATAGGATATATGGGTACTATCTTCAAAGCAGCAGTTACCAGGACATGAGCATGTGTAAGACCTAGATTCTCTTCCGGGCCATATCTTAGCTTGTACTGGTGTTATATGTGATGCTTGTTTTACGGCAAACTTCCACTGTATCACAAAGACATAAAAACATGGGTAAGAATAATTTCAACATAATTTGGCCTTATATCAGTGTATCTTCTGTGTTGTAGGTACCAAGTTGAGCATGAGGCACTATGCAAAGTGGAGTCGGAGCAAACAGAATTCATTAATCAGTTTGTTCTCCAAAAATGAGCCATTCACAGAGGGACCCAACTTGAGGTTGTTCTGAAGCGGTCATGGTACAATCGCAGGGTGGCAAAAGCCTCCCCTACAAGAAGGAATGGTACTACCCATCAGATGGGAAATTCACAAGGTTCTGAGTCCATGCAGAGGTACCATGGTAGGAATTTGTTCTAATTTATTCCAGGAACTTGTGGGCAGCTGTTCTGATTGGATGTAAGAATAATTCTTAATCAACATGAGTGTTACTTCTGCTTAAATAAACCGGTTCCAGCCTTTAATGTTTTTAAAGTAATTTACAGTTTATCCACAATTGCTATTTATCTACAAATGAGTGCATGGTATTTATACTATTTATACCAAAAAGACAGTTCTGTATTTATAGTAAAATAAATGTAAAAGTGGTCCGATGTAATGTTTTAATAATGTATTTTACATGACCAGAGCAAACTATGCTCTATAACGTCTAGCTTTCTAGAAGCCTGTTCATATTTGTGTGTGTTGATCATTGGGACCAAAGGTGTAGTGATTTTGATGTTTTTGTTAAAGGTGCTTTGATATTTTATGAGTTAAAGAATTTTTAATCAGTTTATGAATGAAATTCATAAAAATATACCAAAGTAGTAAGATGATGATGTTTGAATAATGGGCTGAGTGTATGTATGTATACGTGTATATGTGTATGTATAGACACACAAATGCACAAGATACTGCATTTGTGTGTATATATCTACAAGTATTCAAATATAAAAAGTAATCAACAAGAAGTTTGTATGTGCAGTTTATATTACTTGGCAAACTACATTAATGAAAGTTCATTTTTAATTAACATTATGGAATATCTATTAAAATTTAGCATTTCGTTTTGGGCTTCTCTGTATCAATTATTGTCACCTTGCTCAAAGGTGAAGACATCTATCTGGTCCCCTCATTTGGAACATCCCAAATTTCCTAGTCTCGTCCATAGTACACCTATAGTCCTGTGTCCTTCAGTTACATGCCGAAGACTAGATTGGCAGTATGGCCGTTAAAATGCCTTCATTAAATGAGATTGCCCATCTTTGGTCAGGATGTTTCAATTGTTATACAGAGAATGTAGAAGAGCACACTGACAGAACTCAATACAATGCATAACATTGCTTTAATATTTATCTCATCAAGTCCATTCTATTTTCCCATGTTTTTAAACAGCCACATATCCTCCGTTAACATAAATCACAAACCGCAGTGAGTTGGCTGTATGTTACACCATCCACATCTCCAATGAGGAGTATATATCATAATGATCATCACGTGTTATAAAAAGTCTGTTGTACATTTTAGTAGGTGCTTCTATCCAAAGTTTTTTTTTTTTGAGAAATCAGGGTGAGCCAGTTCCTGAAGCAACTGGGAGTTACTGGCCTTAGCCCAATTGTGAAATCACTCTACCAACCCTTGGATTAGAACAGGTGACCTTCTACATCACAAGCATACCTGCCCAACCTGCTGAGCCACACGCTGTCCTACCGATTTAGGAAAAGCTCAGCAATTCACATGGTAGTTTTTTCTGTGTGCTGGTCAAGCACTCAACAGCTGAAAGGCACCGTGTTCACCAGCTAAAGGGAAAAAAACTTTTACTAAGCAGCAATAAGTTTCTCCCTTTTGAGTTGTCCTTGCAGGACAGGAGCAATTCCTTCCCAAGCTGTATAGTTACTATCTTCTAGCTGAGCATAAGTCATTGTATTGGACATGACTTTTGGAAAGAGCACTCACTATATATGAAGAACACAACAGATTCATATTTACTATTAGCCTTTATTTACTAAGTATACTGTGGACAAATTACATGCTACTGAAAATAAAGGTAAATTAATAGCCTTGAAAGAATATAGTGTTATAATACAATGGCACGTCTTGAATTAAGTCGGATTCTCCCATCCCCCCTCCCCTGCCTTAAAAAAAGGGTATTACAAAAATAGGATACTTAAAAATATTTATAGTATTAATGGCAAACAATGTCAAATAGATTACACAGGCAGAGGGGAAATGGAATGCAACCGGAGACGGAAATTTAGCTACTTACCACCAGGTGGCGATAAATGAGAAAAGTATGACTTCAGACTCATCTAAGGCGGCTTACCTCTTAGAGTCTTGCTGAAGCCAGGGGTTTTCTACACAGGCTAAACAACACTGACAGGGGAGATACAACCGTGATAAAGCCCAGCAATGCACATCTAGCCACGACGACTATCACCAGCCATTTTTTTCTATGAATACTTAAAATTTCTGTCCTGTCAAATACCCATAATACCTCACAGATTCATATCTGTACGAGTTAAGTGCAAATCCCAGTGAAACCGCTGTATTAAAAAAGGGAGGGGACCCTAGACACAGGCCAAACAAGATAAAATCATAAGACCCAGCAGGATCTCACATTTAGCTATTCCATTCCTATGGAGGCCAGCTTCAGTTGACTGAGAAAATACAGATGTTTTGAGATTCAGGTTTAAAATGCATTTGTGCATGTATCAGCACTTGTAGAGAGCCTAGGGGCCGGGGAATGGCTGAAAAAATGCACGAGATTTATTATAGACGAGAGAACTTAAAACATTTTTTAGCTTCATTTTTCAACTGAATACCCTGTGCCAATCATGAAAAGAATGACAACATACAAAAATGGAAACATTTACATGTATTAATCATTACTTCAATGTTCAGGAACCATGAAGACCAGAGTTTCAGGCCCGGGTAAGGGGGGGGGGTAGCAGACCTGATTTGATTCCCTGCTTTTGGCTCCACTTCAAGAATTAAAAAACCCATCACAGTCACCTGGTCACCTGTCTCCAAGTAGAGAAAGGCAGGTATGGTGAATGTTAAAAGCTGGCCTATTCTTCCCAGACTCAACACTGGCTCAGGATGCACACCCTGGCTTTTCAGAAGCTGACAACTACATCAGATTACCTAAACACACAACAGCATCATACACAGGAATATACGGGGAATATCGTGGAACAAGTATAAGGGATATATTCAACAAAATTAAATCCAAATCTCAAATGTGCCATAACCGGTGGCATTACGGAATGCCGAAACTGCATAATTTATCATTTGAACGCAAGCCAAGACAATTTTATATCTTTCAGTTAATTGCAGTTGCTTAGTGGCAAGGCATCTTGGAAGGCCAATCTCATCTGTCTTAGTGTCTCCTATCTATTAGAAAACAAGTTCAAACCTGGAAAACCAGACAATGCAACTCGCGGCCTAAACAATGACTTCTGTTAAATACTTAAGGACGTGAGGTAGAATGACAGCCGGCAGGGTCTGGGTCTCCCACTACTGTTCAGGAACTCGGCATTTGTATGTATAGTGTTCAGCAGAGCTCAGTTAAATTCAGAATAAAACTAGCCAGGAGAACTAGTCACAGTGGATTTCCTCCAGACTCAGCAGGAAGAGGATACTGCAGACATCAGGATTTTAAAAAAAGCCTCCCACTCTACGCAGGGAGAATTCAAGACAATGAATAAGATCACAAGTGATACTGGTCTGCAACAAGGCCAGAGAGAAAAGGGGGCAATTATGGCCAACATTACCAAGAGACCCTTATTAAAAGTAATAACAAAAAAAAAAAACAGGAGAATTTTTCACCACTTAACTGGCTTTTGTTGCTCGACTTTCCTACGTCATTTTAAAAAGCCGAACAAAAAAAAAAAACATTCTGAATGGAAGCTAGATAAGGATGAATTACATGACAAGGTACTGAGACTATTCCGCCGACCAATGCACATGGATGAGATCTTAAGCCTAGTTCTACATATGCTTCCCTGTATGTACAATGATTCAGAAAGCAGCCTTGCCCCTTTACTTGGACTCCGCTAACCTAAGAGTCAAACAAACGGACACAGGTGTGCAGACAGGGTGGGGCAGCAGTGGGTCGATTCTACACCTTGCAGACTCTCCCACAAAATACCCAAAGTTCCTTCTGGGGGAAAAAAAATGTTCTTCAGGCTATGAAGCTTGCCACGTTCTCACAGATGCATTACACAGAGCACATAATTCAGACACATTTCTCCTCCCGCATGTAATGGCACATACATATATTTATATAACATTATTTTCCATTTCATTACAAAAAAAAAAGAAGATATTTGTTCACACTTGGTTTGACACTTGTAGTGTGCTGTGTAGCTGAAAAGCCATTGCCTATTCACCCTTTTGGGTGGTAGTGGTGTCTAGTTTGGATGAATCTCAGTTGAACAGTGCTGGTCTCAAGGAGGATCTTGTCTGTGTATATTAATGGCGCAGTATTGTTCTCTCTCTCCTCCCCGGGGTTGACAACATATCTGGTCTACAAGTCAGCAGTGCAGAGACTGTCCATATTTCCAGCATCCTCAATCCAGTTGCCAGTGCATATATCTACATACATAGATTAGTGTATTTGTAGGAGAGGTGTGCTCAATAAGATTCCCGATGGGGTTGACAAATCAGCTGGCTCTGATAAACAGGAACGATGGACATTAACTGTTCAGATTGACAAGAGGATAGACGACTGGGAGACGACTGACCAGGAAGTTGTTGAAATGTGTGCTGAGGGATAGTGTTAACCAAGACAAGAAGTCGGGCCGTTGCAGAGGGATGTGTGCGCAAGCACGTGTGGTTGTGTGCGCAAGCCGTCTTTGGAGGGGGCGAGGGGGGCAGGGGAGGCCAGGGATTTTCTGGGAGCCTTTCTGAGGCCCGGGACTCTATTCTCAGCTGAGCTCGTCGTCGGGATTGTGCTGGTCAAGCAGGCGCACATGTGTGAAGGGGAAGTGGCCACGTTTGCCCTTGCACTCGCCCTCCCACTGGCCGTTCACGTTGATCTTGGTCACCTTCACCATGTCACCAACCTGTGAGGAGGAGAAGGATGTTTGGAAGATGTAGGGGCACTCCATTAGGACTCAACAAGACACTCACCACCAAACCAGTCTCTGTCCATTCCAGGAGCATATTGGACACACAGTTTCACAAGCCACACAGTTCATGCTCACTGTTCTAAAGCCACATATAATACCAACACTGAAGATTGCAGCAGGCACATGCTACAGAACAACAGGCACAGGCACCAAGCAGTCAAAAACATACCAAGTTCACAGGCTCCAGGCCAGACCAAGCCATTCCCACGAATTTGTCCCCATCTGCCCATGTGAAATCCCCACAAATGTCGGCAACCTGTCTAATATCCTCTTAAGAAATTAAGATGTCTTGTTCTAATGCCATTGTTTAACCATCACTTGAACTGTCATCAGGGGAGATCATGACATGTAACACAGATGAGATCTTCAGGAATATCATGCTGGATGAAAACCATAATTAAAACTACGCAGCTCACTTTGGGCAAGGAAGCTTAAGGAAGAAAAGGTCTCTCCCTTCCATGGAGGACCACAGGGCGTGGGAAATTCTGCCGCAGATGTAATTCTGCATCTGGAGAAGGGTGCAACCCATTATGCAGTGTAATTTGATAGTTTGGGTACAACAGCAAGGAGAACTGATGACATTTCAGGCAAAGCAAATCAGTTCTTTTCAAACTGTAGCCAAATTCCATTGTAATTCTGCTTCCGTAGAACTAGCTGCCTTCAGGCTGCCCATGTATAAGCGACTGGGTTCACACGTGGAGCACCAGGTGAACTTCCTCACCCCCACCTTAAGGTTGACAATAAATAAAGAGCTAAAAATAGAGCAAAAACCTGCAGTCCTCAATGAAGCAGCATTCCCCACCTCCAGCGTAAAGGAACGGAGAACCATGACAAAGCAG